CCATCACCTACCATCATCCACCATCACCTACCATCATCCACCATCTACCATCATCCACCATCACCTACCATCATCCACCATCACCTACCATCATCTACCATCATCCACCATCATCCACCATCACCTACCATCATCCACCATCATCTACCATCACCACCACCACCATTATTGTCATCCACTACCACCATCATTATCGTCATCCACCACCACCATCATCAATGTCATTGTCATCCGCCACTATCACCACCACCACCATTATCGTCATCCATCAACATTGTCATCCACCGTCATCACCATCATCATCATCATCATTATTGTCCGCAACGACCATGCACYCTCATGATCATCCAGCGTCATCATTAGGGTCGTGGTCATCGTAGGGTACGAGCGTGACATGCCGTGATCGCGACAGTGTCGTGACCCGTTATTCTGATTGGCTAAACAGTATCGCTTTGATTGGTCCACGCTACGATGTCATCAATTCTGTTACGTGACAGTTACCTTACCGAGGGCGTTTGACAGTCATACAAAATCTACTCTTAATCTTTCAGTTACAGCTCAARGCCATCCAGACAGTAGTCTCCATATTCCTGTGTCCAGAGCGAAGTGTGTCTGTTCCATTCATTCAGTCCCTTGCACCTCACATCGTCATGCTCCTCAACGATGCATGCTTCGACAAACCAACCAATGAAACACAGCTATCTCTTGTTACTGAAGCGATCAAGACCGTGGAGGTGTTGGTGGAGTTGACAGAGGATCAACTTAGTAAGTTTTTGTAATTTGGATTGTCTGTGCTGCTAGAGCGATAGATGATGACAGAGATTTCACTTTAAAAGACGATATCGTGTTAAAGGGTGGGGTAACGAGAGTGCATTCGCCCCTCTGCACTGTTATGGTCTCTGGTTCAATGCCCAGACTCGGTATCACATGTGAGTCGAGAGTTGGTAGGTCTCTCCCTTGATTCGAGGGTTGTTCTCCGCAAAACCGGCCTAACTCGTTAAATTCCTATTTGATCTGCGAGTTAGCCATGCCCTGACTCCTATCAGCCCAGAGGTGCTTTCAGGGTATCGGTAAAATTCAGTTGCAAGTTTTTTTTAATGCCAAAAACAAAAATATTTTTCCATATTATTTCGTACTGCAATGCTTCAGGTCATTCCAAGGCAAGACTGAAACCTGTTGATTAATTAATAAACCAAAACAAATATCCGTTTTTAAATATCTTCCCGTCCACACGTACCGTTTTAAGTTAGTTTTTACCCGTCAACACGTATACGCGAGATACGACTCGAGAACGCATTAGCCTTCATGGAGTAGCGCTCGTCAGAAATATGGCGCGTTTTGAGATTGGTTCCAATACCGTGACGTCAGCGTTTTCAAAAAGTACCATATTCCCCCGTCCACACGAATACGGATAAATAGCGTTTTTGAAATTTTCCGTTTTCGGTGACCATATTTGCCGGATACCTGTGGACGAAAGGCCAATCCGCAAAGAAAAAGTTGGACTGGGTCTGAGTGCATTTTTTGGTTTGTTTTTACAGGAGTTCATCTACTGGGTCTCTTGATACCAATACTAGTTCACCTTCTGTCTGATAACCCTTCATCTAATAAAATAACCAAGTCCTTACACGAATACTGTCTCCAGAGGATAATGAAAATAGGACCGCAATACCCTCAGCCGTTCAAGACGATCATGACCTCGGCACCAGAACTTAAACAGCAATTAGAAGCGGCCATCAGGGCACATCAAGCCTCCAATCAAACTAAAGTTCCGAAAGCTCAACCCAAGGTCGCACCTACACAACCTTCTATTAAACTTAGAATGGATTTTAGTAACTTTAAGTAGGAAGATGAGAGATGAAAATATATTCTGCGGCACACTATTTGAGGTGTTCTCCTGAAAAAAATCGTTAGAGAAGATTTCATATAAGCTAGAGAGTATGCAGAMTTCGTGCCATGCCGTGTTGTGCCGCGTAGAGACTGTGACGTGTCATCTGATTGTTTCAATGGATTGTGTCAATTCCGTACCTTGGCTCCGTTGTGTGCGTGTGTGATGACGTTTTTACTTTCATACGAAATCGACTCCCCTGCTTAAAGCTTAAACAGGGCTGCTATTGGTGTCTTGTATGGTGATCCTGCTTTCCTAACATCTCGTTAGTCGTCAAGCCCTTGGACATGACACGGGCATTCTCTAAAGAAACACAACTTGAAGTTGGCGCGCTCTACTCCCCTGCTCTATCTTGTAAGATGTAACTAATCCTTGGCGCTATTGGGGTCTTGTAGAGTGATCTTGCTTAACTATCGTTTTGTTTGTCGCCTAGTATAGCCTTTACGCATGGCTCAGGCATTTTTGAACAAAAAACAATTAGTGAACTTGGCGCGCTTTGGCAAAATTCCCAGCGATTGATCAGTACACATGGTGTTAAACACGTTTTCATATTGGATAGACTTAAACTTGTGGAGTTTTACTATAGATTAGATTTCGCACAACTGGCTTCTGAACCATACGTTCGTTACCATAGTTATGACTATACCTCTGATCGTTTGCTAACTAGGAATAATTTGGTGCACTTATTGGCTACATAGATTTAGTAAATTTTGTACACCACCATGGCTTGTATTGTGCAATTTTATCTTGTGTTGGCTTGTTAAAAAGTTCAAGCAAAGAAAGAGAAACCTTTATGCTGACATGCATTTCTGTCTAAAGCTTATTTTGCATTGCAGTCAAAGCTATTGAGGCAAGGTTTCCAAAAGCATTTCAAAATGAAACTTGTATGAACAAATTGAATTTGCAACTCGAATGCTCAACATTTTCTCTTTTTAGCAAGAAATTTTTATTTACGTTTCTCACAAAATGGTCAATGTGTAGTTTCAGAAATTATCCATACCAACAAAATAATTTGGAAATTCCGAGGGGAGGGGGGGGGGGAGTCAGAGAAAGAACAAAATTAAAGAGTTTGTATGGAAGAAAATTGGAATTTTCAGGGGTACGGGGGTCTGGAAAAAAATCCTCCAGGAGTATGGATAATTTCTGGAACTACACATCCTAGCGTGTGTTAGGTTTGAACTAATACAACCCAGTATGAACCATGAAAGCTAAGCTATAAATTATATATAGGAAAGAATTGCCACTCACCTAACCGTGGCCACCCAACTTATTTTTGATTAGCTGATCAGACAGTGAGAATTTGTGTAGTTTATGTATCACTCAGCATGACTTGGTGGAAAGGATTCAATGGCATTGCTAAAAATAAGTTGGGTGGCCATAGTTAGGCGCTTCTCTTAGAGTGAAGACATTAAACCCGTGAAACAAAATTTAATAGTTAAGATGTAATAGTCAAAATAGACACAAATGAAAACAACAGAATTAGCAACTACTAATGTGTATTAGTCTAACATCTATTTCATGGGTTAAATGACTTCACTCTAAGTCAGTAATGTATATAAGATTTTGTTGTTTGTGGGTATAGACTATGAACTTTTAGTCATTTTCCAACATTTTCTTTGGGGAGGGATAAGTAGGATTGACATTCAAAAATGATTTATAGTTATTGAACTTTAGATGATAATATTATAGATTTACAGAAGAATAAAAGACAACCACATAGCAAACAGCATTTTTTGTCTTTATTTTTGAAAGCATAAAAAATTGAGGGACATAGCACTTTATTTCTTCAGCTTACTCTAACCACTGTCAGGGAAAACTTCAGCAACATCTTTCTTACAAAATTTTATCAAGTGAACCTCCATTTGAAGTTTCTCTTCCACGTTTTGCAACCAAAGAAACATCAGACATTGCACCTCAGGTATTTTGCTTTCTGTATATTGTTCATTCATTTAACAAGTTGAAGATTACATGTAGTTAAATCAAGACGTTTTCAAAGTTACAGAAACAAATAACAAACAGCTTGATAGCTTTCCTTTGTGCCTTCTGATGAACGTTTTGTGGCTGGTGTTAGTATAGGGACCATTCATTTTTTATCAGGGAGGGGGTTGGGATTTACTTTGTAACCCATACAAAAAGTCTGACCCACTCCCTCTCCCCATTGTTGCATAAAAATATGATTCCTACTTTATTTCCCATTCTGTGTATTGGAAATGTGCTGTGCTCCTAAGCTCAATAATCCCAATGCATCCCTCCCCAGTAAAAAATGAATGGTTCCTTAAATATCATTCGTAATAATATCAAGTTCCCTGCATGTATAACCACTACCACTATTTCATCATGCTTGTTTTGGTTCATCTTTGTTATTTTTGCTCTGTTCATTCATCAATTCTACTGTCTTTTTTATCTTTTGATGTTCTTTGTGTCTCATATATCTACACAGCTCCCTGAGAAGACACAATTATCATATTAGGTATATGCCATAGTATTTTCCATATTATAAATTGCTAGAAATTTGCTTTAAAAAAAACAAGTATTTCCTTCTTTCTCCTGGAAAATCCTGAATATACCAGTTCCAAAAAACCACTCTGTTCCTTGATTACAGACTCATTCACTCAGGCTTAGCCTTGTATCAGTGTATAAATATTTACGAAAACCAAAGGTAAAGTAAAGAATGCACAACTTCAACAATACAAACACTGAAATTCACTGGACCTTCACTGGAACATATACATATCCTACACAAAGTCGAGGCTAATCCTGAGCAACAGAGAACTCAAAACTGAAGTATTACCATATGTTTTTATCAAAGTATTTTCCATACCCCCCAGCCCTCTGACCTCCTGTCGACCCACTCCCCTCTGGTAGATAGCGCACCATTTTAGTGAAATTATCCATGTTGCACCCATCTCCCCCTTTGGATCTGTCTCCCCATATTGGCTGGAACAACACAAATTTCCCCTAGTAACCTTGTATTCAAGCATCATAAGGTGTGATAAGTAGCCTGCATAGCGTTTATGTGTGATAAGGGTCCATGTATGTATTTACGGTATTCTCTTTTGTACACTTGATCAACTATGCAAGACAGCATAGATATAGTAGCGTTTATATCCTCTTACCAGCTAACCACAGATATCAGTGCAAATGATCCAACAGCAACGTCAGCTGACCTCCGGACGTGATCTGCGTAAAAGAAAAAGTTTTGAGCATGCAAAGAATTGTGGGATTCGCATGGGTGGATAGCACTATCCGACAGATAAATCTTATCTAGTGGATTTAATATATTGTATATAAACAGCATCGATTTTATCCACTGGATAAAGATTTTTCCTTGGGATAGCGCTATGGGGCTCCACGAATAAAATTGGGCACGTACTATCGATGGCTTGCAAGCATTCCCAAGAGAGATGCTTATGAGAAATCTTTCGTTGAATGGCACCAACATAGCCGCGATGACGTAACGCGCCGTCGAAGAATTGGAAAAGAAAAATAATAAACGGTCCCTTACTTGATTTGAAAAAGTATAGCACGCCAGCACCAAGGCCTCCAGTTATCCCATACAGCAAGCTGTCTCTCGAACATGGCGTTTTCTCGATAAATTTTATGATATCCCACGATGCCTGAAGAGAAAAAGAAACACATAATTACTACCTTGATATTATCATTAATAATTTTAAAATGATGAGAGGTTAAGGATTCTTTAAGATGTTTAAAATTACATGTTTTTCCGAATCCTTCGAATCTCCAGCGTTCGGGTTCCCGTCCGCCATATTGAAATACCGCTGTCCTAAGGTATGGCGGGCTAAAGTCTGAATACTTTCAGATTTCAGGCTATTTTTTCGAGCTATCTTTGTAAATATCTTTTTATATAGATTGCCAGAAACATTTTTTAATATAATTTTGAATTGTTTTTTAAAACTTTCCAAATAATAAGCATTCCTTCGATAGTTTAATATAATTTCTTCGTGGGTATCCTGTGGTAATTCAGAAACGCGCCATTTTACAGTACACGTATACTTCGTGTATTCCCACAACAAGGTGTTTATGTGTATTATTGTAACCTATTGTTTGAGAATTTTAAATTACTGTATAAATATTACAATCATTTCCTTAGATTTCAATGTTGCATGAAATTACTCTCTTTTCAAATAAGTAAAATGCAGTAAACTTCAAATAATTTCAATAATATTAAATGAAATTTCTTCATGAAGTATAGCCACACAGCTTCGTTACCGCTGACACGATGAATCGTCAAGGGTAAGTTAGTTAAAATTTGTCAAGAATCTAAACTGAAGTCCATAAAATCCTATTTACGGTATTTATAATACAGTTTTAACACTATTAATGGTGGAATAACCAAACGTGATACGCTGAAGAATATCTGCAGACCTTTTCTCGTTTAAAATGTCGTCCAAGCAAGGATATTTGACTGATTTATATTTACGAAAAAAACGAGAAAGGAGGCTACARCGAAGGCGAGCTGAACAGACGCGTAAAAGGGAAGCAAGATCTGAACACATTGATCCTCGAAGAAGTACCATGCAGCTGCGTAGAACTCATCAAAGAACGAAAAGAGATTGGCGTGGTATAAATCAAAACTGTTTGAGGCTCATTGAAGACTGTCAACAAATTATACAAAGGATACAATCGAATGAGAACCATTTCAACAACGACAGTGTCGACAGTGCCAACCTATTAACTTCTTCTATCAATTTCATTAACCATGATAACTTACTTCAAATTTCACCTGAAATGCAACCTGAGAGCAGGTAATTTTAATCCATTTTACTGCGGTTTTCCATATTCTGGGAACTGAAATTTTGTTGTTGTTGTTGTTGTTGCTGTCAATCAAAAATAATCAGTCGGTTCTTCTTATGTTCTTGACTGACGGCAGTGAAAATCCAATTTCATAAAAAACTGTTGAAATGTCTGAGTTCACAGAATATGGAAAACCACAGTAACTGCGAAACTTCTCTAGCCCCAATGACCACAGAACACCCTAAGAAAATAGAAGAAAGATTGAGACATTAGGTGGGTTTACACTGGCTCCAAAGTAGGTCTAAAGTATTACGGAACCAAAGTATATATTAAGAGGAACCGTTTTTACTTAAGAGAAACAAGTGTTCACACCAGCTTCCTAAGGAGGATGCCTATCTTCCGAGTTAGGATTCGAGTAAGGATTCGAGTTAGGATTCATTGCGCGCCAGTAAAGAAAAAACAAAGTGGGCGGCGGAATTTGCAAAAGTCTAATATTACTTGAGCGGACCACGGCACCGTTCACACCAACAGTACAGCCAAAGTATACTCAAGACCTACTGAACATCGCTAGTGTGAACCCACCTGTAGCATATAGTGAAGGGGCAGCCCTCCCCTTCCGCATCCCCTGACCCCTCTCTCCCCAAGTGCTTGTGATGCTTCCAGCAGATGAATGATAAATCCTAGTTCAATTGCTTTCTTTTCTTATGTTTTTCCATAGCTTTGGTAATATGCTTAAAAACTTAAACGGTGATGAACATTATCAGCCACCCTTCATAACAAGCCAAACAATTGAAAGATTATTGTCATCATCACAGCCATCATCAAGCTTGTGTCAACTGCAAATGATAGAAGTCTCACTTGTTTGTCCTCTTTCCAAGACAAAGATTAAGCTACCTATAAGGGGTAAGCACTGTATGCACCTAGGATGTTGTGATGCCAGTACCTTTCTGCAGCTGGTTGGAGAGAAACATTTCTCAAAGTGGAAATGCCCTGTAAGTATATACTTGTACTAATCGTAATACCAGTACCTTTGGCTGGGCATAATGTTTTCCCATTTCAGTCCATGTGTCTTTCCCTTGAGTATCATTTCAGGGGTGGATCCAGGGGGGTCAGGGTAGAAGGGGTAACCAGTCACCCCCCCCCCTTTTGCTCAAATTCCTAGTAAAACCTTGAAAATAGTCACCCCCCTTCTAAAATTCCTGTTCCGCCCCTGCATTTCTTTGTTTAACAGTTGTGCATGAGAAGACACAACTCAAAAACAAAGAATCTCATTCTCAAGAAAATGATATATTGTCTGAAATGAGAAAACTTGTTGCTCCATCATAAAAAGTCTATAATTCCCTCCCTCTGTAAAAATTAACTTGTGATTTGAGAGTTGTATGTATAAAATGAAGTGGTAGTGCATGTTGAGCAAACCTCAAGGAAGAGCCTTAGGTACACAGCGTAAAAAATCTTAATTTTCTGTAAAGAAAATTAAATTTTGCTGATGTCTTGGTTATTGGCTGCTGTCAACTGCCATTTTTTAAACATTTTTAAATTACCACTATACAACCCTTCCCTCCCTGCTTAACTTAGACTTGTTTTGTACGTTTAGATCTGTTCACTTCCAATGCCATATGAAGACATCAAAGTAGATGGAATGTTATCTGATATAATAAAAGGAGTGAAAAAAGAAACACTAAAGATAGAGTTTACATCCAGTACAACATGGAGAGTAAAGGAAGACAAAGGCACATCATTGAGTTCTCATAAACTGAATCAATCAAAGAGAAAAGAGATAATAGATCTGACATATTCACCTCTGCCAAATGCTGAAGGAAGAGGTTCAAATTATGATTTTATAGACTTAACAAATTCTCCATGAGTGAGTCAGCTAGTAGTTGGAAATATCTTTCTTGATACTGAGGCATTTCAGTTTCATAAATGGTGTAGCTTACATGTAGGTATAAAAACACCAATTTTTATGTAATGTACCTGTATAGAGGCTTTGGACCTTCACATGATGGCAGCTGCGACATGAAGGAACAATTGAATCTGATGGAATCTGATTTACATGAGAAAGAATTCAGTTTCCCAGGGAAAAAAAGAATCTATTGTTGTGGTTCTGGTCATTGCTTCCATCACGTGATAGACCAAAGCCTCTATACTGGTACATTACATCTGTTTAGCAAGGCATATTGGTTTAGCAAGGAAGTGAGTGCAATCTTCTTGTGCACCAAAAACTGGCGTATAAGGTCATTAAAGAAAATTTTTATCTTAGCGTTAAGTTATAAGTTTGGATTACTAGGTAATTAATAACAGAGTGCAGACAGCAAAATATGGGGAAAAGTATTACTGCGATTTATTCTGCAAACTCAGTAGTTGCGAACTGCATGCTGAAACTTGGTTTTTCACTGGTCAATCAAAAATAATCAGCCAGTACCTTTAACGTTCTTGACTCCCAGCAGTCATAAACCAATTTCACAATAAGCCGTTGAAATGTTGGAGTTTGCAGAATATTGAAAATCGCAGTAAGACAGTATAATATGAATTTGTTCAATATCCTAATAGCAGATTTTTATAGCTACGTACACTGTATTGCCTTCACACAGTAGTCACATATTTTTTCTCTATACATTTCATTGTATTGGCCCAAATGTCTAGACTTGAAACAATTGTTTGAAGGCAACAGAGTGTTGTAACTGTAGGACCTCCTATTTAGCACTAATAGACCTTTCTCTCATTCTCTTGAATGACCATGGAAAATTGGTTTCAAGTCCAGATTAAACTTGATCTGTTCATATTCTTTTTTCCATTGTTTKTGTGTGTGTGTGTGTGTGTGTGTGTGTGTGTTAGAGGGATTTTACTTGGCCTATCGATAGTAAGCATAACACATAGTAGAGTACAAACACTAAAAGCGTGCAACACTTTGCACTACTTAGTAGTAAATAGTGCTAATTTAACAATGGAAAAAAATAGGATAAGCATAATTTAGCAGTATTTAGTGGTACTTATGTTACACACTTAAAGTGTTTGTACTCTAGTAGACACTAATTCCAATGTTTTCTTTAGTATTACTTTGACTGTAGGTCACTAATTGTATTATACAACTTTGTTTCCAGGCCTAAGTAAAATCACTCTATTTGAATCATACACTAACTACTAGAAACTGTTTCCCATTCTGAGGAAAATCACTCAAAGGTTGTTGTGAGGTATGGGTAGTCTTTCATGTTTTGGCAATATGTTTATAGCAGAGAAACTTGGTTTTCATTTATCAGAATTCATCAAAAGTAGAAACAGCTGTCACTCAATAAATTTTATCATATTACTTTATTAAACTTTATAAAAATGTACAAATTCATCATCATTATTTTTTTGAAGTTGAAAGATTCTGTTAGTATCATATTAATAGCAAAAACTAAATAATGGAGCTAGTAGCAGTTATACAGTTTATTACAATTTATATCTGTAAATAAAATTGCTTCCTTTTCTGTTTAGAACGTAAGTACTTGCTTTATCCTTTGCATGTAAAATTGACAATATAAAATGCGTTTGTCAACTTTGTATTCATATGTAACTTAATATACAAGTACAATGTTGTCACTCGGGGCTTAAAATAAAAAACAGTAATTGGACAATATCATTGACTGGCCAGAATTGGAACTTGTCCAGTCTTTGCCATGCCAGTCATCATGACTGGAGACTGATCGCTTGTTATTTTAAGCCCTGGTCACTTTTCCAACATTGTAACTATATAATATACAATATTATATATTTTTTTACCTAGGGCATAATGTTTTCCTATTTCAAATCATGTGTCATTTCATTGAGTATTATTTCTTTGTCTTAAATGGTTGTGCATAAGAAGATGCATAAATATAGATGTGACTCAAACAAAGAACCTTATTCTTGATGTATCATTTATGATGTAGCCTATATTGGGAAAACATTATGTCCAAGATACAGAGACCTATTAGAGTTATATTTCACTCATGGTAGACTTCTGTAACTACAGTGCAGCCGTTTCAATGTTCCTAAGCAATCCATCCATAAGTATGTCTTAGAACACTGCAGCAAAAGATCTTTAGCACGTCAGTCATATAACAGTTGCATTTGATTCTTGGTAAGTCGTAGCAGATGTAAAGTAGTCTTATCATGATACAATTCCAAAGTACTGCATCAGCTTGTATGTATAGGCTGGTAAGAATGCATATGTAGAGTAGATAGACATCCCAAGCAAGGACACCAATGTGGCATCTAGGATAAGGTTAAGGACTCTAACTTAGTAGCCAAAATATAGTAATATATGTAGCTTAATGTATGTATCTTGAATAATATGAAAACAGCTGATTTTACTTGGTTTTGCTTTACTCCCAATTATTTTAGCTAAACAGTCTAGGATTGATCAGTGACAAGAGAAAYTAGTACTTATACATGTAGTGTAGTGTAGTTGAAGTAAACCATAGTTAACTATGAGTAAATACAGAATAACAGGGCGAAACGATTTAGCTTCAAGCTTACATTGCCAACACGTTTCTGATGTCCACAGCTGCAATATAAAAAATGAATAAACTCAAAAGTTTTGATTCATATAGATATGAGTTTGAGCTCATAGAAAGCCATAGTAGTGTTGCGACACAATTCGAAAACAAGTGGAATTTCTCCATCGTAAACCACCGTATTTTTCGTCAGATCTCTGACGATTTATGTTTCAAAGGATACTAAATATCGTCCTCTCCCATGGCTCCAGCATATAAATCCCTGTAGTCAGTTGATACTGATAGATTTTCAAATCAATCCAACCTCTGATTCCTTCAAACATGGCTGTATTATGCACAATGACCCGAAGAAGGTCGACTGGGCGAGGCTTACGACACAGGTAGCCCAATTAATTAAAATGTTTAAAGCTGAATAAAAGTATCTTAAGACTGAGCTTGAAAGTCCTAGAAAAAGAAATAGAGAGTTATTTACTTCAAATTTTATTTATTCAATTTATTTCATCTATTTTCGCGCGAAACTCAAAGTTCATTTAACTTTCGGGTTCCCTGTGTTGCAAGGTCAGCTGTTTTACTTTTAAAATGTAAACTCAAGATGGCGGAGTTTTTTCAGGATGAACCAGAAACAACGTCTTCTCCCTCAGCAACATTATCATCATCAATACTGTATGAACCATGTCCTCTTTGTAAAGGGAAGGCAAAGAGGTTTACATGTGAATCATGCATTACCGAAGGGAATTTTTCACATTCAAAAAGAAAATATTCCGACCACAGGTAAGAATGGCTGTTGAATTTTTTCGTACAACTATTTGTTTACAATTTTAGTCGACTTAAAAAGCATTAAATACAATATTCTCACGAAGGTCTTCGAGCTAAAAACCTGTTTTTAGCCTTTGAGTAATTAGAATTCTATTTTTTCCGAGATATTTTGCTATCACTTAATAGAGTGTCTTAAATATTTTAATATCTTTCATTGAGCCTTATTAAATCTTTGGCTAAAATTGCGATTTAAAATATTGATAATCCCGGTTTCTTGGCAATTATACAAACCTTGTTAAGGAACGCATATTTCGTTTCAGCTACTGTGAGATGTTAGCAAGGTTCGAGGACTTAAAACGTCTAAAAGTTGCCTTTGAAGACAGGTGAAATTTAGTATTTAATTCGTATAAATTAAATTGTAGTTTTGTCGTGTACAATGTACAAAATATTTATTTTAATTTATCTACAAGATATCTCTTCATATTTCTACTGATTTTATCGTTTTGAGTTCTCTTTTGTGTGTCTTTGAATTTCTCAGGGTCGTGGCAATACTAGCAAAAAGAAGAGAATTGGATAAACTGGTATCTATTCATGACATCTAATACTTCAAAATCACAATTAACCCTTTAGATATTTAACCCAAACATAAGGCAACCACAACATTTGGATAATGGAAAAGCTTTTATCAATTTGCTTACTATCAATCACGTTACTTTTTGGAGTTGACTGGGGGGCAAACAAGCGGTTGACTGAGGGGCAACTAGTGGATGTCAAAACATGTCAAAATAAGTCTTCAAACTATTTGTATTTGACTATATCTACGACATGAAACCAGAAAACAAGAGATCAAAACAACCTCCAAGATTCTACAAGCCATTAAAAATGCAGCTATTACCAGAAGTGATGTCTATTGATAGCAACCTATAAAAAAGTTTAAACCTTCACAAATTTCTGACGACCCTCAGGCTCAGCCCCAGTCTCCACCCACTAAAGATGCACCTTCCCTAAGGTATACAGGAAGGGTACATTTTGTCAAAGAAATTTACTCTTCCGAACAGAAAGGGGGGTTCATTTGAACTAGTCGTAATGAGAATTACTGTATTAATTATACAACTTCTCATTAATCCCATATAGGTAACTGTCCACTTATTTTCTTAATTGGACAGGTCTTGTTGATATGGGATTAATTAGGCAGCTATATAATCAGTGTGATTGCCAACACCATCCCCGTATGTATCGTTTCATTATTTTCACTATTACTTTACCCTTACTAATTGCTTGAATTATGCTCTTTATTTCAGTCTGATGAAGTATTAATGAAAAAAGATAGAATTCGATGTCTGCAACAAGTATTGCATAACCTTCAAGAGGATTTTAACCAAGGTATTTTAATGGTGTATACAATACTTTGTGTCCCTATCCAATGGCTACTAGATTTCACGAGAGTTTTAGTGTAACTTTCTGACTTCTTATTATAACTTTTCTTGGTGTTTTTTTAGATGTACTACAGTTGACTTCCTTAAGAGAAATTAATGCTGACAAGAAAACACAGTTGACAAGCAATCAAGAGAAACTAGAAAAACTAGCAGAATTAAAGAAACAGTATCAGGTGAAGTGAATAATAGGATTTGTTCGTTCTTAATGGAAGGGTGACTGCAGTTTTTAAGGTTTTGTCTGGTTTTCCTCCCTCCTCAAAAATAAACTTCTAAATTCAAATAGCTTTCACATGCCTGTCACTAAGAATGGTTCTAACGAAACCCCTCACCCCCTCTTGAAAATAATGTTTAGCATTATTTTAGTTTTTCAAGAAATGGCATAACTAAGATTGGTAGAAAAACCAACCTCCCCTTTCAGGGTCCTAGCAAAGGACCTGTTTCACCTAATATTCGGAAATGCCACTGATAAATGTCTTTTTTTATTTAATATATTTAGGTTTTTTTCTTCAGACACTGTGTCATTCCCTTGAGTATCATGTCTTTCTCACTTTACTTTTCTTTAAATTCAATCAAAGGCAAAACTATCTGAGGACAAGCAATCACTTTATGAGATACAAAAGAAACTGTGTGAGCAGAGAAGAACAAGTGTGCAAAGAATCCAACAGTATCTTTTCCCTGTCAAGGCAATACCTGTCTACCCCATGATGGGGACACCACCACCACATGAAAAATCTTCGGACTTGGACATAGTTAAAGGTAAGCAGATGAATGTAGATAGCATACCACAGGTAACCCAAGTATCTTTCTTTTCCTGTCAAATCATCTCCTGGGGGATACTCCTGCCCGTTTAGTGTACGAATGTGCCGCTGAGCCCTCCGGTACCTGACCCAGTTTGAGAGTAAAAATCGCTGAAATTCATACCCTGTTCCAGAGCAAGATCACTGAAAACCCTGTTCAGAGTAGAATCGCTGAAAACCATACCCTGTTTGGCGGCACGTACCCGTATAGCGAATATAGGGGAGTACCCCCCCCCCTGGAATCATCTGCACATCTATTCAAATCCTTATAAAATTTTGAATTTTATTTTCGACATCATTTCTTTCGTAGTCAAAGTTATCAGCTCAGTCACATGATCAGTTACTGCAAAAGACCTTTTGCTTCAGAATTTTGACTCATCTGTCACATTTTAACTTGTCTGAACTTAAATTATTTTTAAATGTTTTGAATATGAAACTGATTGACTCTATACAGTTCAAGCCTAACGAATAATGTTTGCTCTTTTCCGATAGATCTCGAGGTGGATGAAGATCTAGCCAATGAGAGTGTAGAATCTGCCTTAGCGGAAGCAACGCGCACTTCATACGTAAAGGGACAATGGATCTCCAGGGATGAAGAAGTGAGATTAGAATACAGCATTGTTGATGACTCTTGCATTCTGAATGGCAGTGGTGACTACTCTGAGTATTGCAATTGGGGTACGTTAATAGTGCATGCATTCATGCAACAAGATATCTTATGAAAATTATCTTTTTTAAACTTTCTTCAATGCATCACCCTTCTAGTCTCCAGGGTTTTCTATTACAGGCATTCCGAGGTTGAGGAAAAGACTGGGTCGAGTTGGCATTTCAGTGCATTGTGGGACTGTTTTAGGGAAATATTTCCAGGATGGCACCCATTTCATCCCCTAAAACATCCCCACGATTCCAACACCACTCATGCTTTCACTCAAATTCAGAATGGCTAATAGTGGAAGGTTCTTAAATCCTCTGCTACCCCTTCTGCCTTCAAACTCAATTTTACAATTGATACCCTATATTTCACCTTACACCTTCAACAATCCCTACTTGCTTAGCCTTCAGAATTTAAACCCTATTCCTTGATTTATTGTTGGCTTTATAGATGTTCAAAACTAAAGCTATTGTTACTAACTGATGTAACTTGTCGATTTTTAATCATTACAGTGAAGGCACACAGAAATGGCTCCCGAGGTCCAGGTATAATAGTTTAAATCAAATGTTTGCATAATTACTGGATCTTGAACTAGATGGGGAAAAAATAGACTACAGCTAGATCACAGCTTGGATTTAGTTAATACCTCGAAAATTGAAGAAAAGAGTTTATGAAATTTTTGTGACTTTTTGTAGCACTTACATATCCTCTAGACCTCTTGCATGTGACGTTAAAACAGCTCAATTTGGAGGACAAAACAAAAATATTTTAATCTCATGAGAATTGGATACCTATGTCCTCCAAATTAAGCTGCATTCCTACGTGCTGCAAGAGGTCTATATAATTTTTCGATCACTTTTTCAAAAAAAAAACCCTTATGAAATTTTTTCATGAGTAGCAGAGTCTTTTTCATAATTTATTCAATATTTATGACTTTCCCTCTTTTCAGACGAAGAGATTGGCYTCAGAAATCCTGCATTCACGATATGCGCAGGTCTAACTCACACCGCACAATTCTTAGAACTGTTAGCTTATTATTTTGATGTCATCCTTCCCAAGAGATTAAGTTACAGGTAAATAAGTAGTATTTCTTTCTTTACCCCTTGCAAAATGCAGCACCAGAAACGAGGAAATAAAGGACACCCAACTTTTAAAACGTTAAACTGGCAGTCAGGTTTGAAGTGGACGTAAGAAACGAGACTTTGTCGGTGCACTGTTTTCCAAATCGGCAAAAATCGCGCCCTCAATTTTTCAGGATTTGTATTCTTTTTTAATGCGAAAAAATGTTTTGTTCACAGCGAATTCTGTCACTTCGAACTTAATAAAGGGGATTTCAAGAACACAGTCAGACGTTTAAATGCAAATATACTTCATCTATGTTTTAGTCAGGTATGGAACCCAGGCACATTCTTCATTTCAATCCTTGTACGCTCTGTCTGTATTTCTGTATGGATTCAAGTATCGTTTGAATTATACTTTTCTCTTTCCGCAGTTAAATCATGCCTATAGACCGTTTTCTCAAGGTTGCGTGCGCATCCAACTTGACGGGCCACAAAACTGTAAAACGCAAATTTAATAAAATCGAGAAGACAATTTTATATTTAAAGAGGAGAATAATCAATTTAATGAATTCTCATAAAAAAAATCATAGCAATGCGTGATAAATACTCAACATAAAGCTCGTGTTCTGGTATCGTGGCCCGTCAAGCTGGATGCGCACGCAACCTTGAGAAAACGGTTTATTAGCCATTCCAAGATTGAGGCAAAAAACTGGCTCAAATTGGTATAGCAGTGCATTGTGGGGCCGTTTTCAAGACATCTTTCCAAGACGGCATCCATGTCATCCCCTAAAACAGCCCCAAAATGCAAATAGGAACTCGATCGACTTTCCCCCTCAACATCGAAATGGCTAATGACTGATGGTAGTTGGCCATGAATCAATTGGTAACATTAATATTTGTCGGTGAAGAAAGATTGCTTGCGAATACCCAAATGATATTTCTTTCCTTTCTTTTTTCACAGAACGTGGATCCAACATTACTTCATCCTGACCGCACCATCCATAACCTTTATGCTCTTCTTAATTCAGCGTCACTTGGAAGGTATGTAAAAAGACGTATATCATACTGAGTGACTGATTCTGCGCATGATCGGAACTGAATATGTTACATGTCTTTTGACACGAGTTAAGATAGAATAACCACTACCACAATGTTAGAGAACGGATGCTTTACTTTCTTCTGTTCGTTCGTCTTCCTTACTCAAAGGTCTCTCATGCAACACAATAGATGTCTCATGTTGTTAAAATGTGAACCTACATAACTATGTTCTATCAAGTTAAGGAAAACGCTGTCTAACAAATATACATTTCCGGTACCCCGTCATTTGATTTCCCGACCTGATGACGATGGTCCGTCCATCAGACAGAACTGAAGAAAGTAGAGAAAAATAAAATATCATGATTCTGTTGCCTTTTTATATATATAACGTATATTCTTTTGGCTATTATTTTCAGTGCTGGCCCATTCGAATGTCACCCCGAACTTTTCCTAACTTCATCCGATCCAGACAACGAAGATGAAAGTGACTTCGACTCTGATGTCGAGACAAACAGCGAATCTGATGCTGACTGGGAAACGCTTCCCAAAAATCCCGACGTTCCCGTTTCACCGATAGATTCATCGCTAAACAATAGAGTAACGCCAGAGGACGTTATAGGTGAACAGGGGGGAGATAATCCTGCAATGGCGTCGAGTCTAGTGAGCTCAGCTGCGGCGTCTGTAGCGGCACTGTGGCCATGGAAACGATGACAGTGCCTGAATGACAAAATCCGCATTGTAGGTTTTTAAGGGATTTTTAGCATTGATGGGTTCGAATGGGGTATATAGATCCCACAATGCCTTATTTTCCACGTTTAGTGTCAAATTTATTCTTTAGTATTTGTTTAAAAAAGAAATTTGAAAGAATACATTTGATCATTACATCTGAACAAGCACGGAAAATAAAGCGTTGTGGGATTTATTGAAAGGGTCTAAAGATTTGTGAACATTTTAATCATTTTAAAGTCATTACAGCAGATCTGGAATGCTTGACGAACGAAATGTTTATACCAAGAATATATGATGGCCTTTCTTTAAATCCAGGAGCAAAAGAATATCAAAACTGGCTGAGGGAAGTTTAGTTAAGAAACTTAAACTAACTTGGAGCAAGAAAATAATAATCACATTCCTTCTCGAACATCGTATCACTCATCTGTCTACTTTTCTTGATCAAATATGGCTTACAATCGAGGTGTGTGAGACAAAAACGACGGTTTTCGGAATAAAACATTCTAGAAGCTCTTCCTCGTCCGCCATTTTGACCCGGGCGCCTGCGATAAATTCAGCGGAAAACCATAATGCGCAACCTCAGTTGAGATTTAAATTAGCCAATCAGCGGTTTTCAAGTCGTGTCTATTAATAGAGATCTAGCTGGCCACGTGGTCACAACAGGGAGTTCCTTCTAAATGTTCGCTAGATTGCCGGTACAAATACTAGTAAATAATCTGATACGGTGCAAATCTATTCACAATATCTTAAAGATGGCTGGAGGAAGAAAAGAATTCGAAGAACTTGTAGAGAAATTGGAGATCAAGAGTCATACGATTGAACATCCTGAGGTTTTCACTGTTGAAACCATGATGCCTTATTTGGGAGAAGCCAAGGGAGCCGTGTGTAAGAATCTTTTTCTCAAAGACAAAAAGAAGAAAGGACTTTGGTTAATATGTACTTTGGCTGAGAAACAAGTTAACCTGACCGATTTAGCAAAGAAAGTAGGCGCTCCCGGTGGATTTCGATTTGCAGACGAGTCTTTGATGGTAGAAAAACTTGGTGTGGGTCAGGGTTGTGCCACTGGATACTCTATATTCAACGATACAAACCAAGATATAAAACTTGTTCTAGACGAAGAATTAACTGATTCAGGGAAACACGAAATGATTTATTTTCATCCCATGGTTAACTCGGCAARCACAGGAATGTCACCAGATGATTTTTTGAAGTTTGCTAAAGAAACAGGCCATGAACCCATTGTGGTGAAATTCTGATGCAGGCATGGACTGCAAATTTGTAAGTTATCTATACACAGGACTTTGAGATAAACATTGAATAAACTTAATCATGTACTGTAGACCTCTAGCTAAAAGATGCTTTTAGTCGTTTCAGACATTTCCAGATGAAGCTACAACGCTCAAGAAAATTAGTCGAATGTACTGCCTATTTTTAATAGAGTTACCACAGTAAATCCGTGAAAATTAGTAATACTAAATAGCACAATTTGATGCAAATTCCATCGTTTTCTATTGTTAACTAACACTATTTTGTACTATTATTTTAGTAATTAGTGTTTCACGGATTTACTGTGGTCACTCTACAAAACTAATTTCCCGAGGGACCAGACAGTAAGTGTTTCGTTATTAGCAATAATTAAGAAATATTGAGAAGCCAGTTTACGAAATAAGAACTTTATTTAGCAAGCTAAATGTATGAAAACTGACCATAACTTTACAAATACAACTCACATACCGTCTCGTGTTTCTATACCAAAAAGTGAGGAGTAGCAACAGCATCTTCAGTCGCTTTTTTTGTATTTTCCGAATCCTTTTTCTCAATAAAAGTCTGTAATTTCTCTGTATAAACACTGGAAAATCTCCATTTGTATTGCAAATTCAAGCAAAATATCTGCTCCCGTGTTTTTTTCTTGGTGCAAAATATCATGCCATCAGCGATTTTAACGTTCTGATCACGTGCACTTGTTTATTTTCAAGATTATTGTCACGTGCAAGTTATTTCCTGACTGGTAACTTATTTTCCAGTCAGGATACATTTAGATTCAACTAGTGTCACATGGTCATCTTTTAACCAAAGACAGTGTTCATTATATCGGAAAATTTCGTAGCTATATAACAACCAGTAAAATCGCTGAAATTCATATCCTGTTCCAGAGCAAGACCGCTGAAAATCATACCCTGTTCCGATATTGCGAAAATGGATACCCTGTTCCAGAGACAAGATAGCACGAATTCATATACTCTGTCCCAGAGCGAGTGCGATTTTATATACCCTGTTCCAGAGTGGAATCGCTAAAAACCATACCCTGTTTGTACCCCCCTCCCCCGCCGGGACTGATTGGCTATTATACCTTTGCATTGCATTGGACATGCATGAACTATTTAAAATGATGAAATCAAGAGGTCTAATGGTTTTGATTATTATACGTAATACTAATAAAAAATGACAAAATGAAGATTTCAAAGAAACTAGATTAAACCAACACGTCCATGGTATTTTTTATGCTATAGTATTCATCAACACTTATCAACAAATGTGCCGAAGCAACTGACATGACCAATCAGAATTCATCATAGTAAAATTGCATGCATTGCTGCCCCAATTTTTCCTCTTTATATTTTATGCATGATTTTCTTACCTAGCCAAAACCAAGTGTTTAAACTTTACTGTGAGAAATAGACTGACACAAAAATCTATCATACAATTCAAAACGCACAATTCAAAATAGCCAATCATACAGTTGTTTATGATGTTATATACTAGTATATACATATCTTTGCTGTCTATTTTGGAAATAATTGAAATAAAAAAAAAAAGAAAAATTTTTTTTCAAAAGGTGCAAAAATCAATCAAAACCATGGGCTATAGTCCATGCTTTTTGCTCAAAAATGGTCCAAAATGACCTATTTTGCATCCTTCATAAATAATAGACATTTTTTCAAAAGGTGTGAAAATGGTGCAAAATTGATCAAAACCATGGGCTATAGTCCATGCTTTTTGCCCCAAAATGGTCCAAAATGACCTGTTTTGCATCCTYCATAACTAATAGACATTTTTTCAAAAGGTGTGAAAATGACCCAAAATCGATCAAAAGCATGGGCTATAGTCCATGCTTTTTACCCCAAAATGGTCCAAAATGACCTGTTTTGCATCCTTCATAAATAGTTGATATTTTTTCAAAAGGTGTGAAAATGGCCCAAAATCGATCCAAACCATGTTGTTATATTCAGAATGCAAGGCATATAATATTCAAGGTTAAAACTTGACACATCATTTGTGGTATGAATCATTTATTCCAAAGAATAATAACAGGCTTTAATTCAGATTCAACTGTTTATCAGTTTTATTTGTGGCCATTTAAACCCAGCTAAAATAAGAGTCAAATTATTAATTAATTAATTAAAAAGGTAATTGTCAATCTTGATCATATGAGAGTAGATCATGTGTCTATTGCTTGATAATCTCTTCCAAAGAGCCTTTATCTTGTAATTTGCAAAACTCACAGGACAAAAGAATAGTTACAAAACCTGAAAAGAGCATGATAAAATTAGTAAAATTGAGGAATTTGAAGGAAGAAAGTTCAAAAATTGTGATGATATGAATTCTCAAAAATCGAAATTTCGTAAGAAAACCTTTGTTGGAGGCAAAGTAGTTGTAGAATTATTCACATTATTCAAAAATCATATCTTCGTGAGTTTTGAATATATTTTCTTCAAACTTTTTTACTTTTTTACAGTTTTACCAATTGTACCATGCTTCCAGATATGGTAATTATTTTTCTTTTTTATTAATTTGGAAATACCAGATAAATGCTCATTCTGAGAATTCCTTAGATACAATAGCCTAATGCAAGACGTAGCTTGTAAATTTGCATCCATGCCTAGCTCCAACGACCTGTTCACATAATCAACTTTCAAAATAACATGGCTTGCCTAAAACTTTACCAATTCCAAGGTCTAAAAAAATTAAAAAATCACAAACTAAAAATCCTTAATCCTGCTTGAACATGGAATAAAATGGCTACGATGGATGCAAGTATAATAAGTAATAATAATTCTAATAGATATTAGTGACTAACTCTAATACTGTATGTACAACCAGACTTGAACTAAAATTCATAATAATTACAATCAATTGACAACCTTAGGTGTATACTAACTAGGTATTTAAATCTATTTAACCTACAAYTTTATTATTCATTATAGTGAACAAGTTGTAGTAGATTTACCTAACTGGCATGCATGGAATTTATTTTGTAATCTCTGCACCTACAATAAGCACTAGTTTTTCTTTTGACCAGAAAACAAGTATCATCCACCATTGTACCAGTTACTTGATGGCTTAAGTGTAAATGTCAAATTAATATTTTATGCCAACCATGCACTGGGAGTTTTAGTCCCCTTCACAGTTCCCTGCGTCATCTTGAAAGGTAGCCGTACCTTTGCATTGACGGGAAAGGAACGATTAGCTTGCAATGATAGAGACCTTTTTTTAACACCTTGAAGAATTATTCATGTCATTGCAAGCTCACTGATCAATGCAAAGGCCAGGCTATCTTACAAGATGGTGAATGGAACTGTGAAGGGGACTGTTGATCAGTCTCTTGAGCCAGGAGAGAGTCATGAACAAAGCACTTGACACTTGGATCATTCAACAGCTGTTAATAGCTGTGAGTCAGCCATTCATAAGTAACAACTCAATCAGCCAATAACTTGCAACCATTTACCATAATATTCATATATATGTAATATGCAATAAATAATGTAATGTGGGGATCAATAACTTACCAATTTGTGGGACATTAATTTTTTTATCATCACTATAATAAGCTTAGCACACACCTCCAATTACATACAACCATGCAGATCCAATAACTCTTCTATCAGTGAATTTAAAGGAGTTTGAATTCCATTATAATTTTTGAATTTTCCTATCTAACAAACAAACATGGAATCTAGTGGAAGAAGATCCACTCTGTGGAATCCACTGTTAATAATTTCCCCACTTAAGTCTGGGGTCTTGATCTTCCTAATTCTTTTTAGCTCAGTAATTCCAGAACCTAGAAATATCTAGGAAGTCTCAGGTCCATTTAGAACTGAGTAGGATTTAAATTTCTTTTTGTGATCATTCAAACATTATGGTTGCTTTTGACAAAAATAAAAAAATAAGGGCCTACAAACTACAGTACCTGGCCCTGTGTCTTGACTCGCTCTTTAAATTAGAATTAAAACACTAAAAAATCATAAAAATTATTATTTTATCTACATATTAACCAACTGACTGTTTTCCAGACAACAGCTTTGCTAAGCACATGTAACTTTGTCAAGGGAACATGCTTTCCATAGCCAAGTGGTAGCCTAGATAAAACTAATCCCATGAAAACCTAGATTGTTAGCATTGGCTAGGCTTTGAGTGGTTGTGCCTAAAACAACTTGTTCACTACCAGCTGTTAATTAAAATATTCATTAATTTGCATGCTGAACATGTAATTGTCATCTGTTATTCTGCAGTGGTGACAGCCCCCCTGAATTACTTTGCTCACTACAAGTGCTTGTAGTAGAATGACTGTCACTTGAAGTAGTCTTCTTGAGTTTTCTTCTCTTGGCAAGGGGAGCGTTCTCCACTTCCATCAGTGTAAAACCTTGGCGCTGAGCTTTGTTAAAAGCATCGTAGGTTACATTTAGTGCTGACTCCACATAAGTTCTTTTGTGTCCTTGTTCAAGTATGCCTGGAGTCATAAGAGGTGTGTGTGGCAAAAGGTTCCCTCCTTGTAACCAGCTATGGTGAAGGACTTCTTGAATTGTTAGTCTTGCTTTAGGGTCTACAGTCAATAATCCTGCAAGGCAAGAACAATATTATAGCTGTAGTCAGCAGACTGATCTATTGTAGTTTTGGTTTTAACTGCAACAAGACAATCAAGTTGTGTCAAGAACTTCCCGAGGGGGAGGGTTGATTGCTCACCAATCTTAACAAATCACCTCTCCCTCCCCTCAACTAACACATTCAAAATGACCAGCCAATGAACACCCTAAAGCCCCTGAACACACCCAATTGTTTGGCAGCTGATGACCTCTTTGCCATTATATCCCAGGAAGTCCACTTTACATCAAAGCAGTGGCAGATCCAGGATTTTTTAAAGGGGAGGTTCTGAAATGGCTGCCATGGAAGAAAAGGGGAATCCACTTAACCTGTGGTACCATCACTTGGGTTGCCACTGAAAAGTATTATGATAACAATAAAAAATGTCTTTAAGTTGCAGGTATATTTATACCTTGGATGAGATTTTTAGCTGGGGTTGATATGGACTGCCATTGTTGACCTTCAAATCTAATGTCCCCTTGAGTGATTCTTTGCATAACAAAGCCTGCTGATGACCTGTACCAGCTACCACTGCTCTGGAATGGTACTTGACCAGATAACATGGTATACTGCAAATGATATTACCACAAAAATAAGAATAAAATGAGAATTGAATCTGCTTCCAAAAAATTTAATTTTTTTAAAAAGTCACATTGTTTCACATTGCAAAACTTATCAAAGTATGACAGCACACTGTATTCTATATTTTTATCAGTGTGGAGACAGGGTTTTTGAATTACAGATGGGATTTGAACCCATGATCTTGGACCATACTCTATTTGGATGCTCTCACCTCTGAGCTACTGGAGACTGGATTAATTTTACTCCTGATTAATTCAAAGGGGTACAGATTGAGTGTGATCTCATCAAGCTTGGGCTGGCAAGTGGTATCATGACCAAGGCCCTGTATTTAAGCTTTCTGGAATCACGGAGCTTGTTGCATCATCGAGCTGCTTTAAGGGATGCTTATATACTTATATAGTATCTATTTTCGCTTGCAGATAGTGAAAAGTAATAGTTGGGCTGTTGGGTTGTTGGGCTGTTGGGCTGTTGGGTGTTGGGCGGTTGGGCTGTTGGGTTGTTGGGCTGTTGGGTCGTTGGGCTGTTGGGTTGTTGAGTCATTGGGTTGTTTTGCATGGATTCAGGGTGGCGCCGGGTTAACTATCGATATGGGAGAAAATTATCATACAACAGCGCTAATTGCAGAGCATCAGGAACGAGGTGGTTACAAGTTAAGAAAGCAAAAGACAGCTTCAGCAAAAAAAAAAAGGGAAGAGGAAACAAGAAAATATAAAAGAATCCTGGTGTGTTATTAAACGCAGGAGGTGAGAGTATGGTACAAAAATTAAAGGTTACGTGACCTATGTTAAAACGATAGATGCGCACCTTTTCCTTCATAGGCACGAAACTGTGATCAGAAGTAAGCTTGCCGTGTTGGGTCCAACGACAAACCCAACGCAGAACTCGGATCCCTAAATTGTGACCCATATGGCGTCCCATAAAAAAGGGTTCCTAAATGCTTAACATCCATCTTACCAAAATGACACCAAGACTCCATAGATCACATGAGTCATTATAGCCAGTATGATTGACAGTTTGGTCTAGTACTTCTGGCGCGGCATAGTTGACAGTAAAACAAGGTGTCTGCAGTGGTTGACTTTCAGGAGGTTTTAACCTTGCAAAACCAAAATCTACTAATTTTACTTCTGATTCTTCTGAATTATCTACAAATAAAACATTCTGCAAAGGAAAAAATATCACGAAGTTCATAAGATTTAATCGAGGTCCCTTATATATAATATCATATACTTTCCACCCACTTCCCATCCCAACAGCAATAATACAATCTTTTCACAATCACTTCTGCATGTGCTGTTGGTTTGGCTTTGATATTCTTTTGGGACATGACAGTATACAGGAGAAGGCAGTATTTTCTATATCTACCCACAGTTTGGTATCCTGTTGTAAGGCCTATGCCTGATAAATCATTTATTTATTTTCTGCATTTGTGCATGAATAACTAGATTAAGAGTCTTAAGAGTCTTACCTCTGGTTTAAGGTCTCGATGGACAACACCTTTCTGGTGCATATATTCCACAGCACAAACTAGTTTTTTCATAATAACACTAGCAGCAGACTCGGTAAAGGTTTTCTTTTTTCGGATCCTTTCTAACAGCTCTCCGCCAGCCAGTAGCTCCATGACTAAGTAGGTATGAAACTAACATAATAAAATAACAATCAATGACGACAAGCAAGGAGGGAAAGACATATAGTGAGATGGCTCTCTTACCACCAAGGAACCCAGGTTCAATATTTCCCAGACTCAGTGTCTTATGTCTGAGGAGGAGCTTAGTCAGGACCCAGGAATTGGGGGTCACCCAGAGTAGAAAAAATTAAAAAAAGAAACAAACGTTTTTATTCATTGAAATAATTGCCAAAAAAAGTTTTAGTGGAGGGGCATATGCCGCCATGCTCCACACTCCCCAAGTTAGTGTGTTAAATGAATTTAGTAATTTGGTCCTTAAACCTTACTTAATGCAGACATAGCCCAGTGTGTTATCAAATTTGAATTTTTTAAAGTTACTTAAAGGTACTTACAGCATCATTATATACTTCATAAAGAGTAACAATATTCAGATGTCCCTGACATATTCTTAAAGACTGGATTTCACGTGTTGGGTCGCACCTGGTTAATGACCAATAAAGCATGTCATATACATTAAGAAAACATCAATTATAAGTTAATGATTTGAGCCAACAAAATTGACTGGTCAGTCACCAGTAACGATGAAATGCCGAAATTAATTTCAACTTAGTAATACCGACGTTACTTGGCAAAATGATTGACAGGGCAAACATTTGTCCAAACAAGTTCCAATTCTGGCTGGACATTTTCCGATGACCGGCCAATACTTTTAGTCAGTACAAATAACATTTTCAATTTTTCTTAAGGCCTAAACATTATTCTATGAGCTTCCCATTTACTGCCCCCTCCCTCACTGATTCCTCTTTAAATATATCCTCAGTTGAGAGTGACTCAAGCATTTGCCACTGACTTATTATTAATGTCTTACCAGCTTTCTGAATTGCACGATAAAAGGATAAATAAATGTTAGATATTCAAATCTTACCTTCTGCTTATYATTTTTACAGCATATTCCATTCCTGTTCTCAGATGAACACACCGTCTGAAAAAGTCAAATATTATCATTTATTTTATAATTATGTAATTATGATGTGTGCAATGTTTTCTTTATTTACAAAAAAAATGAATTAAACAAGTATGTCTTGTTTAAAACAAGACCATAAAAAATGCCTTGGTAAAATGCGGTGTGATTACACAAGTAATATTGTTCTCAAATGGTATTTATTGGCAATCAAATATGGCATAAGGATAGTACACTGCCTCTCACATTGGAAATCTCAGGTTTGAATCCGGGACTCAGCATCACAAGTTAGTGGAGTTTGTTAGGTCTCTTCTTTGATTCAAGGGTTCTCTGGTTTTTCTTTTTTCTTTTCTTTTTTTTTTAAATTAACCAGCTAAATTCCAATTTGATCTGTGAGTAAGATGTGTCTAGAGGTAATTGTTTCAGGGTTCAATGTGAGTGTTAGCCCTACCCTGACTTCGATCAGCAGAGAGGTTGCTTCAGGGTTCAATGTCTGAGTTAGCCATGCCCTGACTTCGATCAGCCCAGAGGTTGCTTCAGGGTTCAATGTGTGAGTTAGCCATGCCCTGACTTTGATCAGCCCAGAGGTTGTTTCAGGGTTCAATGTGTGAGTTAGCCATGCCCTGACTTCGATCAGCAGAGAGGTTGCTTCAGGGTTCAATGTGTGAGTTAGCCATGCCCTGACTTAGATCAGCCCAGAGGTTGTTTCAGGGTATCAATAAATTTGAAGGCTTCATTTGTTCTTCATTCTTTTACCTGCAGGTAGAGAAGCTACCATCTCCAAGTACATCACTTGTAATTCTATAATTCTGGAAAAAATGGGATCCCTGTGTACAAAGAGAAATAGTTGTTGCAAAACATGACCTTAGTTGGATTAAAATGAATAGAAACTTAAAATTGCAAAAATATGAATTTATTTATATGCAAAGAGTATGTGAAGAAATAACACAAAATTGTAGAGAAGGGGAAATTAAATGGGATAGGATAAAATGAAAGAGCATGATTTGAAATGCAATGGGTTATGGAAATAAAGACAAAAAATGGAGAAAAGAGAAAAGGAGAGAAAATGGAAATGAAATGGGATAAGATAAACAGGAAACTTAAACTGCAAAAACAGACTATGATTTGAAATACAAAGGAAGGACACAAAAACAAACAGAAAGAAACAAGAAGAGGCAAGGAAATGGAAAATGAATGAGAAAATGAATCTCACTTCAAACATTGCTGCATAGTCCACCAATCCATGTTCAGGTCTTTGTGATGCGACATTAAATTCATTTTCACCAAATATTATTGACGGTGCCACAAAGGAATATCCCTGAAACAACATTATTAAGTGTAAATGCATACATTTTTGAAACGGGTTTGAAAGAAATGAACTGAATAATGCAGTCTAGGGGGCACTCTTCATGTCCTTTGATTGTAAATGGCAACCAAGCAAGAAATGATGTGCTTCTAAATCAATATTAAATAATTACTCACTCTGAAGACTCTATCTGCCGTTTTGGGTGCGGCTGCAGGGGAGTAAAGAGGTGCAAGATCCGTGAACTCTTCAGAAAAATTGCTAACATCCAGTTCATCTCTAATCCTTGGTTTAAAGGGAGCTGTTATTCTTTTGGCTTCAAGGTCATCCCAATTAATACACTGAAAGTGATAAAAGAGTATGAGTAAAAAACTTGAATAACAACTTACAGCACGATGTGCAAAAGTATGACCAATTTAATATATTTGTATACTTCTATTTATGGGTTTTGTACTTTAAACTGACACATTTCGATGCGAAGCTGACTGGTATAAGGCATGCAAACACACATTTGACAGGAAAACGCCTGTGCATAGAAGTATGCAAATACATTAAATATGGTTAAACTTTAGCGTGATGAACTGTAACACTTTCAAAATAGAAAGACATTTATTGATATGACATTTAAATCATTCTGGTTATGTAAACACTAGGCCAATTAGAATGAAATAAGATAGAGAAGAGTAAAAAATAATAATAATAATTAAATAGTAGAATAAAATGGAATTGAATAGAATAAAGTAGAATAAAATGGAATAGAATAGGATAGAATAGAATGGAATGGAATGGAATAGAATAATTGAATAGAATAAAGTAGAATAAAATGGAATAGAATAGGATAGAATAGAATGGAATGGAATGGAATAGAATGGAATGGAATAGAATAGAATAGAATAGAATAGAATGAAAGGATAGCGTAGCAGTAGCACCCTTGCTTCTCATCTCTGGAGTCTTGGGTTTGATTCCCATACACAGCATCACATGTGAGTCAAGTTTGTTTGGTCTCTCCCTCTATCTGAGGGTTTTTCTCTGCATTCTCCAGTTTTTCCCCCTCGGCAAAACCCAACAATTCCATCTATGAGTTAACTGAGTCCTGGGCATCAGTGATGTTTGAAGGTTTCTACGACATGACCATGGTTATTATTGCCATAAACTTTTTCCTTTTTTTACCTTAAAAAATGGATGTTTCTTTATTTCATGTGCCCCTTTTGCCCCAAGCCTAGCTTTTGGGTCTTTCTGTAGCAGCTTCCGAAGGAGATCAATAGCGTCTGGGGATAAGTCATGCGGCATTGGAGCATTGTTGTGGAGAATTCGTC